AATGGTGCAAACTAGACTTCAATCCGACTATTAGTTTCAAAAATAAACGCTTGTAAACAAAGAAGCCCCAAACGCGAAATTTGGGCAAAAAAAGGAAAAAAACTCAATTTCGTAGAATCGAACTGAAATCAAGTGTACAAGTACAACTCGCGACGAGAAATTCAATGGTGCAAACTAGACTTCAAGCCGACTATTAGTTTCGAAATTAACCGCTTGAAAACAAATGAAGCCCAAAACCCCAAATTTCGGCAGAGAATTGTAAAAAAACTTAATTTTGAAGAATCGATCTTAAATCATGTATACAAGTACAACTCTAAACCGTTGAATATCAATTTCCTCTCTTATTTATTCCTGATCGATCTGGCTGATGTCGTGGACCCGTGTATTTGAAATTGATATTTTAATTTTGGGGGTTACTTAACATGAAACCCCTGGGACTATTATAAAGTTTTCAAAAAATTTAATTTTTTTATTAAATGTTGTTGGACGGACTGAAGTGCGTTTAAGAGAATGGCGCAAGTATGCAAAATGGCAGAAATAGAATATTTTCAATTAAAGTTTTGTATAAAAAATATTTTACATAAAACTTTATATCTCCCATTTGACATATTTATATTTTGTTTCACAAATGGGACACTGGGGTCTCACACACCCCATAAAATAATACTTAGTTACAAATAATGTCATTTCTTACACCTGATGAATATTTCACAAACAAACATATTTTCATTTCAGAACATAGTTTTTACTTACATTAGTAACTCTGGTTTCTCATCTTTTTGAAGAACAGAGATTTTACTTTCATTTATAGTATTCTTTTTTGTACTTCACCGAGATCGATCTAACGCACAGACTGCCTTGAAGTTTTAGTATTCTGCGCTTCGTTTGGGGCGGTGCCAATATATAAAAGGCAGTAATAAATTAACTTATTACTACAAATCGTAGAATATTGATAATATAATTAATTTATTAGTATTAGAGTCATTTATCATTTGGATATGATATTCTATGTAGAACCGACGAACAAGTTCAAATCTTAATACAGAGGGAAATAAGCGTTTTTCCCACGAATTGAGATTATTCGCCAAGCGAAATCACATATTTTTGGCAACGCTGCGTTGCATTACTAGCTTCTTGGTTGAATTGGACATTTTCAAGTGATAACCGAGATGATAGAGCCGAAGAAAATGCAATATTTCCATACTATGTAGCCGTTTCCGATAATGTGATAAAGTATGTGCTATTGTTGCACTAGTTTTTTAATGAAATCTGACTTCTTTGGAAAGTCAATTTACTTTTAAATTTCATTCGGTCAATTACAACGTGCTGTATAAAAGTAATCTCAAACAAACAAAATTTTTATTAACTGCAATTCTTTTTTTTTTATTATTTTTTTTTTTTTTGTTTCCATAAGTATTGAAATTTGTAATTCGTTTAATAAGATACTGAAAATCAAAATGATTTATACTCATTCTAAACTACGTTCTATCAAAATATTCTGAAAGAGAGTAATAAAAAACCAACGACGCTCACCAGAGAATGTTGATTTTTCCAGAGCGCCTTCTTTTTTAAGTTTTTCTAATTCATGCAAATACGTGTCGCAATAATCTCGCATGTGAGTATCCGTGAAAGTTGCCTTGTGATCATAGAAGACGTCCTGAAACAAATACAATAAATTATTAATGTTTCAAACAATTTTTCAACTTAGAGTAATTGAAAAATGTATGTTGACAATTCTTGAATGAAAATGATTTGAAAAAACTACAACCTAGGTTTTAGAACCAAAATGTATGTATGTGCTTTGGCGCAACAGCTCTTTACGAGCTAAGGCCTACTAGCGGCGATCCGGCCTTGCAGCCATGGGTTAAAAGGTACGTGTGGTTGGCACGTAGCCATCCCTACGCTGTATTCTGGTATTCTCAATCTCAGAAGTGAGCTTCCTCATCGTCACTCAGTAACGTATGCTGGGTCATTAAAAGGAAAGCGTACAGTTAATTTTTATCCCGACTGGAAATCGAACCGGGGATAAAGCCATGGAAAGCGAACACGCTAACGAGCGGGCCACCTTTAGAACCAAAATACCACTCAAAAACGTTTTCTTTAAGATAAAATTATTTTTATTTACACATGACACAATAAGAATCAATTTCAACTACACAAGGGATAATATTTTATATAAGAATAATGTTGATTACTAATAATTTAAAATACATTTATCTGCCATTTGTGAGACATAAGAAATACTAAAATTATTAAGCAAACAATAATTTCTGAAATCTTAAATTTTACAACGTGAACTCGATTAATATTCCATAAATTGTTTAGAACATGTAGCAGAACGAAGGAAAATTGCATTCCGCAGCTGTCTTTGAACACTTGAAGCAAAGGGGAAATTTGGAACGTTACAAGAAACGGTGGAACGTTCAATTCTAAATCTGAACGCTCACATGCCGTAGACTGAAATAAACAGTTTGGTATAATCCCTGATGCTGCTGCTAATAATTCAATGCATGTGTTAATTCAATACGCCTTTTCTTTCCCCTAAAAACCTATAATGTTTGCTAAGTTTTAATTATTGACTTTTTCAGGTATCACAAGTGGCTTAAGCATAACGATATTCCGATTTTTGTGAAACACTTCCAGGAGTGACCTTTTCATCGCCGACAAAATAAATAAACTGATAATACCTTGAAGAGCATAAATTAGTGAGCTAACCCAGATTCAGGAGAGTTCCCACCATTACATCACCTTTTTTGTATTGCGAGGTGCAAAACCACAAAAAGGAAACTAACACACAAATTAACTTAAAAGAAGTGGGAATGGTATAGTGAAATGTCACGTAAAATTTGTTAAAGCAAAGGACACGCGGAAATGACGGTTGTAATTCCGAGAGTATCCCTAGAGTAAAAGAGGTTCTATGTAATCACTTGAGATCAGAGTTCGCAAAATGAGTCACAAATCGTAGCGCCCTACCAGAGTTTCCAAAAAACTTTGTTGGTACGGGAAAGGTCAAGAGCGGTAGCAATCTAACGTTAGCCCTAGGATACAAAGGAGACTTGTACCATGCATTGTTACGAAGGGAAAGTCTGACAGACTACTTCGGGTAAAAATGAAGAAAAACTAGTTTTTACAATGAAACACTAAATTAATGGATTGAACATATATAGATATACAATATACATTTTAAATGTTTTTGTAGATACATCTAAAGGACTTGTCACTCACAGCACATACTTGCTAAGCGCTGTCCACTCATGGATTTTGTGAAGCGTCCACAGAAGTATCTTGTCATGCGATCTTAATTATGATCATCATCGTCCCATTATGATTGCTAAATGTTCAGGAAAAAACTCACATGCTACAAGAGAAAGTGTTTGTAGTCATTATTTACAATATTAGCCAATACAGTGCCAAAATATTACTAAATTAACTACAATGGAGTAGTCACCAATGGCGTAGTCTAAAATGGCAAATATACAGGATATTGGTATTGTGGTGAGTTTTAGTTGGCATTTCAAATCAAATAATTGTTTTATGTATACAGGAATTAGGCATTCGCACAACGTTACGTGTATTTCACTGGCTAATCACACCGTGAAGGTTCACAGAGTTTCAGAAACGGTGAGTGAGGGTAAGGGGTGGGGTAGCTTTCGGCACTATTGTGTCGTCCGACACAAGACGCCTTTGTAGCCCCTTGGGGGTTTGCAAGTACCGCCTGACGGCCACATGTCCAACTTTGCGGTTCTGAGATCCTTGGATACCCAGAAGTAGTACGAGAGGAGCAGCGGTATACACGGAAAATCCGAAGTTATCGGTATTTAGAAGCACAAGCGGCGAGACAAGAAAAGTCAAACCACAAAACATCGATTGGTTTATTAGTGTTGTTAGCATTCCAAATGTGAGAATAAAAGGCATTGTCGTTGCAATTATTTTGGTCATTCACAATAATTTTCAACAAAACGTTTGCCAATGGCAAAACCCTTGAATCCCCCTACAAAAAAAGGTTTTTTCCATTTGATTTCTAACATTTTTGACGAAATTAATGCTAGAAGAAGAAGAAGAAGAAGAAGTAAGGAGAGGTGGATGATGTGGAGGCAGATAATAAATAAACGAAATAGAAAACTGAGGAATAGGTGTAGCATGATAAAAATGAGAAGAAGAGAATGTGAAGACAAAAGGAGAAGGAACGAGAAGATTATACGAAAGGGAAGAAGAAACACAAGGAGGAGGAGAAGAGGATAGAGGCAAAGAAGACGACAAAGGAAAAGAATGAGAAGATAGGGACATGCAGAAGGAATAGAAGTAGGAGGTGTGGAAGCACGAGGAGGAGGAGGTCGAGGAAGAGGACGAGGAGGACGAGGAGGACGAGGAGGAGGACGAGGAGGAGGAGGAGGAGGAGGAGGACGAGGAGGAGGACGAGGAGAAGGAGGAGGACGAGGAGGAGGACGAGGAGAAGGAGGAGGACGAGGAGGAGGACGAGGAGGAAGACGAGGAGGAAGACGAGGAGGAGGACGAGGAGGAGGACGAGGAGGAGGACGAGGAGGAAGAGGAGGAGGAGGAGGAGGAGGAGGAGGAGGAGGAAGAGGAGGAGGAAGAGGAGGAAGAGGAGGAGGAAGAGGAGGAGGAAGAGGAGGAGGAAGAGGAGGAGGAAGAGGAGGAGGAAGAGGAGGAGGAGGAGGAAGAGGAGGAGGAGGAAGAGGATAGAGGCAAAGAACACGATAAAAGAAAAGGAGAAGATATGGATATGGATAAGGAATAGAATTAGGAGTTGAATCACGAGGAGAAGGAGGAGGAGGACGAGGAAGAGGAGGAGAAGAGAATAGAGGCAAAGAACACAATAAAGTAAAGAAGATAGGGACATGGAGAAGGAATAGAAGTAGGAGGAGTGGAAGGAGGAGGAGAAGGGAGAGAAACGGGAGCGCTCACCCTGAAGAGGCGCTGCAGGTGCGCGGAGCTGCGCACGGTGCTCCGGTGGCCCGTGAGGTGCGGGAAGAGGTGGCGCAGCCAGGGCAGCAGCGCCACGAAGCCGCACGTGGTGTCGAAGGCCGTCTGGAAGAGCATCACCATGCGCCCGGTGGCGCGCAGCGCGGGGTCGCGGTCGCGGGGCAGGCGCGCGCCGGCCAGCGGCACCAGCATGGTGTTGATGAAGGCCGGGTACAGCGCGTCGGGCAGCAGCGCGCGTCCGGCCACGAACACCTCCCTGCGCACGCGAACCATGCGATTGGGGCGCCGCGCGGGAGAGCAAAACAAGTGGAGCTACAACAGCGAATACTCCCTCGCATTACGGGACGGAAGGGACGGACGGGACGGACGGGACGGACGGGACGGACGGGACGGACGGGACGGACGGGACGGACGGGACGGACGGGACGGACGGGACGTTTTGCCGTCAATCGAGATTTCGATGTCAAGGACTCACGAAATATGGGTTCTGACAACAAATGTGTTAGAGGAAGTAATTTACTACATTTGGGAATCAGATTTATCCACTTTTTCGTTACCAGGGCTCAGCTATGTTTTGTGTCGAATATACGCTGTTTTCCGGCACACGATTACAAAACGGTGTCTTCTTTCGAAAGGCGATAAAGTTAAAGTCGAACATTTCAATTTAATGTCAAATAGTAAGAACCCGTGTCAGTGGTTCAAAAAGAAAGCAAACAAGTCTCGCCACGTAAAATAAGGCAAATTCAATTCAATTCAATTCAATTCAAAGTTGCAAGAAATACTTGCAGTTATTTTCGTAACTGAAATATTAAGTCAGAAAAGTATGTTGTTGAGTGAGAGTTGAATGAATGAGTACCATTGAATTTTGCAACGAATATCACAAACTCTAAGACGTGTTACGTTCTATTTTTTTATTATGAATTAATGAAAATCGGTCGGTATGTACTTTAACACACGTGTATAACACTTTTAAATCGTTTTAACCAACATGGGAAAATAACCGCAGTATTTCACTTCGCTGATCATCTAACACAATATAACTGATGATGATGGCTAAGCCATCGAAAGGTGCCTTTTTAATAAATAATATTGTTGGCAATGACGACGCATATAATTATTTCATTTACCACAATACAAACACACCTTCAACGAAGAAATTAATTTACATATTCTAGAAACTGAAAATAGATACCGGCACAGACTAAAGTTAGAAACAATTCACCAACACAACACCCTGCATTACCAGAATGTTCTGCCAATTATTTTTGCACGATGGAAACTACAAGTATTTGCGGGTTCAACTAGTTTTATATTACGTAACTGTAATATACCAGAAAATATATTTTGTTGCAGTATAACTATTTGTTTTCGTGTTAAGGCTCCACACATTCGTTAGTCGGTGAGTAGCGCGGAATCCCGAGAAGGGTGGCTGAATCGCTAGCTATTTGCCGAGTGACGAACATTCGGCGCTCGCTCTATTCGCCGCGCGTCGGTCTGTAGGACGCGTCAAAAGAAGCGAACATTCGCCGACCACATCAGCGGTTCGGGATTCAGCGAGCAAGAAGTTTGCTGCTCGGAGAATGCCGAAAGTGTGGAGCCACCTTTGGGTAACGGTTTTTGACCAATGAAACTGTCTGCGACTGGCAATAGTCCTAACTAAAATCAGCCTCGTTGTTCGAAGCCCTACGATCTAAATCGATAAAATAAAATCTGGCCTATTGAAAGGACGTCATTATAAAAAGTAACTAAACTCATATTACTAGTAATTGATTATCAGCACATCCAATGGAAAATTATTTTTTCTTGTAAAATTTTATAGTGTTCTTCATATTGTTCCGGTGTAGAAACAGGGCTTTCCGAACGGTAGAGATAATTAGACGCGTTGTAGTTTTTTCAATATTTTTTCTTTAATTTTACGAAATACTTAATCCTAAAGAAATCACAATTACTGACTTTCGTAAAACATATACTTTCCCAAACATAAGCTGCTAGTCCAATGCATCTTCTCGGTGGCTGCCGATGGGAACACCTCCGCCCCCAGCAGTGCACTGGAGCATAAACAACGGGTTCGCGTGACCGCTGCTAGGCAACGGTTCTTCGAAGAGAACGTCGGGCGAGGACTGAATTAGGAGCGGGAAGTTGAAATTGATTACGGCAAATTTGCTTACTCAATCGTCGTTTATTTAAACCACCCTATAATATGGAATATAGTTTTAAAGAAACAAATTAATAGGTTCAAGAAGGGTTTTTTTTCTGTTCATTTTCATTGTTACATGACTAAGCGAGAAAAAGTAAGCTTAATTTAAAATTCCCAATCTCCAAGACTATGGCGATTTCACTAATCAAAAGAGAAAAAAATTCTTGTGGGGTAAATACTTATTAACATCAGAAATGTAATGTTTTCACCTATATACCGACGGTATACATGTAGGTTTTCATGAATTCATAGTAAAAAAGAGAATGTAAAACGTCTGTTTGTGATATGCGTTTCATAATTCAATCGTATCATTTTACAATACACATATCAGACTTACTTAATGTTCCAGTTACGAAAATAGCGCGTATTTCTAGCAACTTACTGTTTTTTTAAGCCACGGGCACGAATTCTCACTATTTGCCACCAAATTGAAATGTTCGACTTTAACTTTATCGCTCTTCGTAAGAAAAGGATTTTTGTAATTGAGCACCGAAAAATGGGGAATTTTCGACACAAAAGCTCGTATTGCCAGGCGAATATAACACGCGAATACTGGAGCAGAACCCTTACAAACGGGCCACACTCACAACAGACCGCACTCGATCTTTCCTTCCCACTCCTTGTCCTATCCTACCCGTTACTTACACACACTTACAAGAGCTACACAACCCTACATGACGGGACACCGGTCGGGAGCTTAGAGCTTGTTCCGGCTGGGACGGTGCCCGTTGGGGGGAAATACCTAGTTGGGAAAAACTTCCTAAGTCGACAGTAGATCGGCGCCGGATCTCACCAACCAGCGAAAGAAGATCACCGCCACCTCCCGAGCAAAAAAAAACAAAAAAAACTAGCATTTCATTTAGGGAACTAATGACTTTAGCAGTTGACGCGCCCGGAATCGCCAATCCATCAATTATATATACATACACACACATATATACATACATACATACATACATACATACATACATACATACATACATACATACACATTTTTTATATGTAGACTTCTTTTGCAATAAGCAAATTTCATGGAGGTGACTAGCTCGTTTGCTTTTCTGAATACACCGTACGCATTATAATGTCAGATATATCTTGAAAAATATAGATATACATTCTTCCTCATGTCCGTACGAGATCGAGGAAAATCTACGGACAATCGCGCGACAATTTTTTTACTAGGGCTTTCAGATGCTGCTTCCTGTATTTCGTGTGCCAAAACTAACATTGCACATGTCATCACACCAACAAACCTGTCACGTTGTGCAACATACCAATAACTGTTTCGTCAGACCATCAAGAAGAGCGAGTCGTTGTTCACGCCCGTATGGGTTACTAGGTAGGAATATTCCGTTGATGTGTTCGAAACAAACTGCGAATATACACGTGTTTGTCTCCTGAAAATTTGCACCTATTTGCACTACACAAACACTAAATGAACTTGAATGGACTTTTGTCGTGCTGACACATTGGTTACTAAGCGCACTGTCAGAATAAAATTGGAAACTTGTAGTTCAATTTGTTGTTATTATTATTATTATTATTATTATTATTATTATTATTATTGGTGTTGTTGTGGGGATCTTAAGAGAGGAATAGTGATTTTGTTTCAAAACCGGAAAAGCCGATTAAGATAATTTACAAACGAAACTCACAAAATAATAATTTTCATGGGTGATATTCACATTCCGTGCCCTGAAATATGACAAATAATGTTTCACCTGTTGTAATGAATATTCCATCCACGGTAATCTGCAAACGATTTTTTAAACACTATTAAACTACTTTTACAAAGATGAAAGTGTTAATTGCAATAAAATAAAATCGGTGGAATTTAATCAGAAACCACTTTGCATTAGGATACTGGCAGCCTATGAAGCATTATTTCAAGGATGTGATAATTTATTCAGGAAACAATAAATTAAAACTAGTGATGCTATAAAATGGCTTGTACTTTTCCGTATTAGTTTTCTATTTCCTTAGTCTCGGCTAGGTATTCACGCTTGCCACATACTCTTGCCTGCTGCCGTATTATTTTAAAAATATTATAAAACAGTAAAACCTCATCCTAAATTGTAATTTTATTTGAAAAATGTGGAGTATTTAATAAAATGATGCTGAACCGCTGCAGAAAATTCGAAATTTGAATCCCTTTTTTCACAGAAAATTTTTGAGTTTTCGAAAAAATTTATTTGAAGTCATATAAAGCTATTTAGCCCTCAAATACAATAATGTTTAGAAATTGCTGGAAATGTGCATACTGCCGGCGTTGGAAATATTTCAAACAATTATGCGTAATTTTTTGAAAACAAAACAAAACAACAACAACAAAAAATATCCTGAAATGAACTTTACTTCACATTAAACAGTGCAATTACCACTATCCTTTTGAAAAGTTTGAAGAAAACATTTGTAGTCGTTTTTGAGAAAATGGCGATTGAACGTTTTTGAAATTGCGAAATTTTGTGTTAGTTATGACAGAAAACGGTTGAGTCTTCGACAAACTTTATCTGGCATTATCTAAAGCACATGTACTCATAAATATAATAAAGTGAACAAATTGCCGGTAATGTAAATATTAACGACGTGAGAGAAGTCAAAAACATTACCTCATGTAAAATATCCCGCAAAACTAATGAATGATTTTCAAAATCGCAGAGCTTCGACTTAGGCCAAATGGACAGGAGTTTCTTCAATTTGGAAAGATTCCTACGCATGGTTAAGGCGCTAGTGTTGTTCACATACATCAGACGGACAGACGGTTTGCAAAGAATCTCTTTTTCGGTATCAGGAGACCCCAAAACGTGTATTTCTGTTGAAATCTAAAAATCGATTTTCCGCAGCACTGCATAACTTTACCTATGCTACGTATATTACTTCGTATATGGGAAAGTAAAAATATAAATATAAGTTAAAATAAAGTTTATAAGAAAAATAAAACAATTACGTAACCTGTACGGATCAGCTCCAGGTACAATCACGCGAGACTAATAAA